ATACTCATCATTCATCGCCGCATTCCAATTATGGTCATTTAAAGCTTGTTTGTAAGACTTTGGAAGAGGTGATTTTAGGTGAGGTGGACCCGAAGGTTGAACGGTGAGGTTACAATATTTCAGGTTAGGCTTAAAAATACCCCGTTGACTACGAGTGATGCGAGGAGAAGGGGGAGGCGGCATAGTGGGCTGAATTGGAGGAATGCCCCGAAAGGGTGGTGGGGTGTATATGGGTTGTGGTGAGGCTAGACTGACCGGTCGTAGGGAGGGGGACAGTGCAGTCCATGGTGGGGTCGCGGCTGGTGAGGTGCTACCGCGGGTAGGCTACGGTGTGCACTATTCGTGAGCAGGAGATAATGGAGTGGTGTGTAATGTGTTTGGGCTTAAGGGAGAAGAAGGTAAGTGGGCTTGAGGGTGAGTGGGCCTACTGTAGCGCATGAGAACATGGGTTGAAAGGGGGGATGCATCATCAATGGCCAAAAATTATAATCCTCTAACTTATACTTGTGCAAATTCAAATAAGGGAAAGTATTTTCATCAAAAGTCATGTGGCGTGAAATAAAAATTTTGTTTGATGATATATCAAGACACTTATAACCTCTATGGTTTGGGGGTACCCTAATTACACACAAGGAGTGGTACGAGGAGCTAGTTTATGGGGAGCGGTGGATGAGAGATTAGGGAAACAAAGACAACCGAACACCCTTAGATGATCATAAGTAGGTTGTTTTTGAAACAACGCATGAGTAGCGGTTATGTTATTAAGAGCTTTTGTTGGTAAAATGTTCAAAAGATAAATAGCAGTCTCAAGAGCATAGACCCAAAAGTTGGGTGGAAGTGAGGCATGAAAGAGAAGTGTGCGTTTGACATTATTAATAGTGCGGATCATGCGCTCTGCCTTTCTATTTTGAGATGAAGTGTGAGGACATGAAAAACCTGAAAACCATACCATTATCTAAGCATTGTTTTTTGAATGGGTCATAATCAAATTCACGGTCGTGATCGCTTTGAAAAGCTTTGATAGGTCTTTCGAATTGAGTTTGTACATAATTTCGAAAGTTTATAAAAGTCAGAAAGGCTTGAGACTTATATGCAATGGAAATAGTCCAAACAAAATGAGTAAAATCATTAATTAGAACTAAATAATATTCATGACCATTGACACTCCGAATAGGAGAAGTAAACAAATCAACATGAATAATATCAAAAGCACAAAGAGTATGACTAGTGGAGTCATAAAAAGGTTGTCTAACATGTTTCCCTAATTGACAAGAAGTGCAAAAATCGGAGTCATGCTCCTTATCAATATCAATGTAATTTTTTCTCCTAAGAAAATTTAAAGAACTAGCACCAAGGTGTCCCAAACGACTATGCCAAGTAGTTGGAGAAGTGACCATGAGTGTTGATGCAAGACATGAGGATGGTAGAGTGTTGGTGGCGACTGAGTAAAGGTCTCCCGAACTATTACATCTCGTGATTATCCTCCCCGTTCGAAGGTCCTTCACAGAAAAACCATAAGGGTCAAATTCAATAGAAACTAGATTATCAGAGGTAAATTTACGAACTGAAATTAAGTTTTTAATGATTTGAGGGGCTTATAAAACATCACGAAGTGCTAAGTTATTGTTAGGGAAAGTAGTGTGACCATAACTCGTTATTGGAATGCGGTGACCATTACCTACTAAAATATTATTATTAGTGCTCAAATTAAACAGAGACATGAGAGTACCTGAGTTATGAGTCATGTGCGAGGTGGCACCCGAGTCCATATACCATCCATTGTCCGTGTTTGCAAGAGTCATGGACGAATAAGCAGAGCCCAATTCAGTAGGAGTATATAGTTGCCCGTATTGAGGTGGCCCAGCCACGTAGGCTTGCTGAGGTGGGCTACGAGTGGTCTGGTTTGGAGATGCAACCGACCTGGGCTGCCAAATTGGTCCCTGGGCCTTAGGGTATGGGCAGGGGGGTATGGCCTAATATCCAGGCCATTGTTAAGGAGCCCACTGCTAAGGGGGCTGATTGGGCCACACAGGTTGGCTGGCCCACTGAGATTGTTGAGGCTGTTGGGACGAGCCTTGTTGTTGCTGCTGGGATGCGTTTGCTTGCTTTGTCGAGTTGTTGCCTCGACCTTTGCCACGTCCTTTTCCATCTCCGACCTTGTCACCTGGACGTCCCCCATGGCTGCCGCTTGAGCCACAGCCACTTGAGCCGCGACCACCATTGGAAGGGGGTTGCTGCGTTTGACTATAACCTTGAGAGGAGGCCGAATCTTGATGGGCAATAAAAGAAGACTGCTGCAATTGGCCTTGATCATTGGCTCGACGAGATTCTTCGAGAAGAAGTCGAGACCTGGCAGTGTTGAAAGTGGGCAAGGGATCGGTTTGTTGAATCATTGTCGCCACTGTATCGAAATCGGTGTTGGTGAGACCAGACGCTAGATGGATTACCATCTTTTGCTCCGAAACGGGTTGATCAATATTGGCTAATTGATCGGATATGCTCTTGAGTTGTTGACAATATGTAGTAACATTAGGAAAATTGCTAAGATAAGCAAGTTGAATTGATTTTCAAGATAAACGGCCCTAGTGTTCTTGTTATCTTGATAAATTTCTTTAATACGATCCCAAATTTCTTAAGTAGTTGATTTTCGAGACAAAATCGTTTCAAGGAGGTCGGTGGAGATGGTGCCGTATATCCACTGCTTGACAATTGCATCAAGACGCTCCCACAAAGAGTTCGAGACATCCGAAGGACGGGAAACGGTGGAGTCAATGTGATCTAAATCATTGTTGGCGCAAGCATGGTTCTCAAAAAGCTCAACCCAATTAGAATATTTGACCTTCTCATAATCAAGAACAAGAGGAATTGCATTTTTAATATTATTCACTGTCAAAGCGGGGTGAAACTCCGACGTGGGTGGTGGAGGAGTGGGGTCATCGTCCTTGGCCATGACAATTCAATATGCAGTGAACAAAAAATAAAAAGAAATTATGGTATATCGAAATCAACGAGAAAACAAAGAACAAAAAGAAAAAGGTGCGGAAGCTTGATAAAGGCAAGGTCCCAATAAAAACAAAAAAACCAATAAAATTGGAAAAATAAAAAATTGAGATCTAAAACCTAGGTTGTGATACTGTGATGGATTTCGGGGAAACTCCTCAATCTGGAGTGTGTACCATTGATCAATATATATAGAGTGTTACAATTATCGTAAACCTCGTACGATAAGGATACAAAATATCTACAAATATTATCCTAATATGTGACAAATATTATCCTACTATAATATCTACCAGTTAGATTGCAACTTGTTAATTTTTTTAATTTACTTCTATACCCCTCATTATCATAGGCTTCCAGTCCACTATACAGTAGGACTAGGAGTGTTTGAATTCAGATTTGGTGATTTGCTAAAATAGTTATTTCAAATAATCGTTACTTTCAAATTGCACCCTTATAAACCTTTGATTGTAATAAAAACTCTTGGTACTGGCTTATTCAGGTATTCCAATTTAATTCGACTATATAATGGCTACTGACCTACTATAATTTTACGGAGTAGACCTCTATTAATATTTGTACATCTAATTATTTTTATGATGTTATAAGTTTATATTGTTAAATCTAATTATCCTTTTTTAATAGATCAAACACTATATTATAAGATAGGGAGAATATTAGTTTCATATTTCATTACACAGTATTTCAAAATTAAAATAAAATAAAAAAATCAACAAGGGCGCAATCGGCAATAGCTATAGTTTTGCCCTAGATGGTAGCCTTTGGGAACTAGGTATTTTGGGAAGTTAATGAAATTTCTTAAATTTTTATTACTCAAAAATGTAGGGAAAAAAATAAAAATAAAAAATTGACACAGTAATCAACGTTCGTCCTTGAATATCGGTTATGAAGAGATTAATGGCCGCACAGCATGACAGAAAATAGACGGCCCAAAATGAATTTTTTTTTTTTTTTTTTTTTTTTTGTGTTTGAAGTGGTACAACACAAATATTGACCATGCAACTTTTGTTTTCTTTGGAGAAACTAATTTGTAAAATTAAATTCAATGCTACATAAAATGATACGGAGTATCATAATTTGCAATGCAAGATTGCAAGAACAACCATTACATAAAAAGAAAAAAAAACATGCAAAAAAACAACTTTGAGGAAGTAATGGAATACAAAATCTAGCTTAGTTAAACTCTCAGTTAGAAAGTGGTACCTAACACCCGAATTTAATTTAATATACATTATTTAATCACTTTTGATTGTGTTCACACCATATATTTTTATGGTGTTTACTCACCGCTAAATATCATTAATTCCATGATTATGAAAATTTCACATGCAAAGTATAAAAACTAACGTGAATATGAATCTAACATCTTATGATAAAAGTTTTGAAAATCACATCCGATCATACAAGACCAATTAAATAGAACACAATTCAACCATAAATAAAGTTAATAAATCAAGAAATTTTGCAATAATACTACAGTTACAATTACAGCAGGTAATGGTTTCTTAATTGATTGTCCATTCCTCATGACTCATGTAATGGAAGAGAAAGTGAAGAATGGGTAGTTTGTGACTGGGATGGTCCTTGAAATTTGTCTGCATCTGAATTTTCCTATTATGAACGAGTTGAGTGTGGGCCGTGGGGGACTAAGATCATGCAATTACAGCTGGGAGTCACTGACATATTCAGCATAGAATTTCAAGATGTTACTTTCAGTATTTATTCTAGAGCAATTTCCGGTTATTCAAAGCTTACTAGATTTAATCTAAGTTGGGTCGAAACTCTGACCGGACGCAATTCTCTCAATAAATGTTGTTGCATTCTCTAGCTTATAAGCAAGAGATCTAACTAAGGTGGAACAACTTCCTTACTAGTTAATCGAATCACTTGTCATTACATATTACACGGTTCAAATGTTCTAATAGTAAGCTTTGAGTACTCACTGAAGTGTGCAAATATACTGTACTGATTTGCATTAATTGTCAAAATGTTGCTAAATAAGGCCGAAAATACCAGGCCAGGCCTTAAACAGGCATCTGAAGTGTCCGAGTAAATTTTTGAAACAAAGCCCAGAATCCATCAATCTCTTTCACTGGGTCCAAGCAAGGGCCTGGCCTGCTATGATGCTATCCAAGTTGAGGCCATATGGGCCTGGGCCTGGCCAGCCTAATCCACTAATAGCCTGGCCCACCTCTAAACTAACTACAGAAAAGAGCCAAGTTTTCTGCTGTATAAGACTGTAACAGAGACCTTCATTTTTTAAAGTAAATGTGGCAAAAAATATAACCATTACCAAAAAAAAAAAAAAAAAAAAAAAAAAGAATTGTGGTATCATGAGCTTAATGTTTGATAACCTAGTGGCCCCTGAGTTCCTTCAGTTTTTGTATCAGATTTTCCCATAATAGATGGCATCCAGGGGAATAATTTACCAAGCTCCTTGCTGATTACACTCGCGATTGGTTGCTTGTTGTTGATCCCAAACTTTGCTCGTTCTATGCCCTCCATTATATCTTCTCTTGAAACTGCTTCTCCACCTTTTTACAAGCAAATAAAGTTCAAAAATGTTAAAATCCAATTAAAACATCAGCAAAAATTTATGAAAGAAGGCAGCAGTGATTTGAAATACTAAAATGAACGTTCAGATTCTGTATTTGGTATATATAGATCATATTGCAAACTGAAGGAAAATTTCTGAATTCCCATGAAGCGGAAACAAGGTACATGATGCTGGCTACTTTAGGAGGTAAAGTTTCTAGGGGGTGATGCCTCTTATGAATTGTGCAAATGCGGACATAAAAATGGAAAGGGGGATAATGGGGTTGGGGTTTGGGGGGTAGAGTTAATGTATGTTTAACGAAAGCGTGTAAACTGCATCACATATAGCCGAGATTCTTACCTCTGCGTGCAGCAAGTAATGCAGCTTCATTGACAATGTTGGCAAGATCAGCACCAACAAGGCCTTGGGTGAGGGATGCAACGAGGTTGCAGATAAGCTGTTTATCTTCCTCAAGAGGAATATCCCTTAAATGCACAGCCAGTATCTTTTTCCTCCCTTCTTCATCTGGCTCCCCTACAAGAACTTTCCTTGAGAAGCGACCAGGACGACAAAGAGCCTGATCTAATGCTTCAGGTCTGTTTGTTGCAGCAATAACAATCACCTTTGTATCTGACTCAAATCCGTCCATTTCTGTCAGCAACTGCCAGCAAAAAAATATCCAACTCTCAGTCTAATACACAGGGTAAGTGATAAAAAAAAAAAAAAAACAAACAAACAAACTCAAACACATCCAATGGACCTCAGATATGCATATGAACAGTCGAAATAATCAAGCAACTATGAGAAACCAGGGATTACATAGTAGGTTGATTAGCCTACATAGATAACACAGTGAAGTTTTTACATCATGTAAACATAATGCTGTAAAAAAACTCCCGGGGGGTGGGGGGTAGAACATACCTCAAAAGAATCCAGGGGAACTACTAAACAAACAAAGCCATCCACATAAATGATAAATCAATAAAGAATACATAATGAAGGAACTCAAGGAAGAATAACCAAGTACAATGAAAAGCACTAAGGCTACCAGCTACTGATATCAAAAACTTCAATTCACCATGTGTTTTCTTTCTTTTTATTTTCTACTTATGTGGGGGAGTAAGGGGGTGTATCATTTTGGAGCTTTCAACAAGATGCACCTATATTATATATGCAGGACAAAGTTACCTGGTTGAGTGTCTGATCACGTTCATCATTGAAACTTCTACCCCGCCTTCCTCCAACAGCATCAAGTTCATCAATGAATATAATTGATGGAGCACATTTCCTTGCAACACTGAAAAGTTCTCTAATACGTGCAGCTCCTCTCCCGACAAACAACTCAACAAATTCACTGGCTGATACAGAGAAGAATGGTACACCAGCTTCTCCTGCCACAGCACGGGCTAGCAAGGTTTTTCCAGTTCCAGGAGGACCTACCAGCAGAACACCTCGTGGTAACCTTGCTCCTAATTTGTTGTAATTGATAGCACCCTGAAGGCACAATACTATCTACAAAGAAAAAAAAACCTTGTAAGTATGAGTAGTCTATGGCAGTTTTGACTTAAGTGAAGAAACTGCTGAATCCAAACCCTGCCCCAACAAGTAACAGAAAATAATGTCTTGAACTCCTAAAATAATCCAATACCCTCCAAGTCTAAAAGTGAAAGCATACAAAATAGATGAGAACAGTTCTAACATTCTCCCAAATTTAGACATGCATATTACATTAATCATCTGTTTAAGTGCCCTAATGTATGACAGATTGGCAAACTCCCCACCTAAATCAGACACACAAAGTCATGGCCTGTAGTACAATACTTGGCCTTTGGAAAGGTTTGATAGGCATGAGCTCTACAAGGCTTTCTCATGGGTTTCATCAATTTCACTTTAAATTTCCCACATGGGTTTCAACAGGGGGGAGTTCTTCAGTTATATAGCTATGGAAAAGGGTCCATAGGGCCATCATGGTTTTGTTATAATCCGAACATGATTACTAGTAAATAACTTTCAACTTTTAAGTAGGGATCTGCCAAAGAATCATCCAAACTCTTAACCTTGAGGTTGGAGGGATTAACTCTCACCTCAAAGTGCATGATTAATAGCCTTTGGTTTTGGGTAATGTCAGGACCAAGATAGGTTCAACATCATTTATGGTGACAGCAAATATCAATCAAAGCCTTAATCCCATAAGTGGGGCCTAGGAGTTTGCTAGGAAAACTCAGACTAGATATCCATGTTGGATGGGCCTCCTACACATGACTCGCCTTTTCTGGGGTAATAGCCTCGGGTTTTATGCCATAAATCAAACACCAATATCATCGTTATTAGAACTTAAAAGAGGCCTCCTGGTTTCCCATGGAATGCCTTAAATGGATTTTTAAGTTTATAGATTTATACAAGTTCCAGGAATGCCATTTGGGTTTAGTGTCTTCTTAGGTGAAGACTATACAGTTCTTGAGCTGCTAGCCTGCTACAATCATCAAACCAAGGAGACTTCCAATTCTAATTTCTGCCTGGATTTCAACCAATGATTGAATTAGGTCTCCAAAACATGACTATAGCTGTGTCAGGGGTAATAAATTTTAGATCTTTTGCCACATACTAACCTTACAGAAAGGACAATGTTAGGAGGAACTCCTTTTCCCTTAAATTCTACTTTGCATAAACATTCCCATATGGCCTAGAGAAGTCTCATCAGAGGGGTTTGCAGGCACACAACAAAACATAATTGCTTCCCAACCTCCACACAATAAGCCTTTCCTAGAAAATTACATTGTAAATCTTTTCAACGGAAAAAAGTCAACCAACTAAACTTTGATCTTCAACATTAGCTATTAACACACACACACACACACATTTTTATGTAAAATGTAGTTTTGCAAAGGAAGTCACATTCTGATGGCCATCAAAACACAACTCCACCCTTAGGTAATTTCTTCTCAATATGTCCATGACAACCACCACTAGAGCATTAATGACAGTATTGAAAACATATGAAGAGCACCACATGCTTGAGGGTAGAGTTGCATTATTATGTACAGTGGCATAGGATTTTTTTAGACTAAAGTAGCTCATCACAATAACCACCATCTATTACCGCCTACCAAATGAGTTGTCAGAGTAAAAAGAGCTATAAGATGCTAAGATCCATGAGTTATCCCAAAGCAAGGTCCAGACATCAACTTAAGATGCCATTCACCATACGGTTTAGAAGCATAACTACAGCCAACCAGTTACAGGTGTTAACATGTCTCTGGAATACTAGAACTCTATTCTAGTCTATAGGATTGCTTGTGCAAAGAAATCTTTTGATGAGAATAAATCAGACGTGATTTGAACATAAAAAAAACTGACAACTCCTTGTCTTGAAATCTACTTGATAAAGATGAACATACTCATCTCACATACTGGCCACCATGAACTTCCAAAAAAAAGAAACTTTCTGGTTGTCCCATACCCTCAAATTACTTTATATAGCCAAAGCCTCTGATTCTAAAATCTGAGTAAGTATTTATTCACAAAAGCCTATAGGTGGTTGCCTAATTTCAATAATCAACATCTATCATTAAATTCACTGCCTTCAAAGAAGGCTAAACAAAGGCAATATGGACAGCAGAATTAGGGAAAATTCATGATAATAGACTAAGAGAATATCAATCAGAGTAAACATGTTTCTGTCTTATGAGTGCATCTGATTTTACAAGTTGGAAGGGAAGATAGCATACCTCCATGAGCTCAACTTTTGCAGTATCAACACCTTCCACATCATCAAAGCTAACAGCCTGATTACTAGGCTTTCGTTTCTTCGCAGGCCCATTAGAAGCATAAAGTTGTCGATACAGTAGCCACATTAACGGAGCCAGTGGAATCCATAATGTCAAGATAGTAAGTAATATACTCCTGAATGACATTAGTGCTGATTGAGGAGCTGAACTGTATGTAATACCCTTTTCTCGCATCAAACCTAAGAGAAAGCTTTCGTCATTATCAACCTTTCTAGTAGCATACTGCCACTGAGGAGCAGCAGATTTTTTCCTAGTGCCTTTTGCAGGCACACCTGTGGTACTAACTTCAGTGGTAACCCCAGCCGCGGCAGCAACTCCAGCTGCTACATTTTCAGCTTGATCATTCTCCAAACCCGAATTCTCTTCCTCTGATTGAGGAGATTCAACATTAGGAGCCTTAGTATTGTAGTATATCCGGCGAGACCCTTCTTCGAAAAGAACTTTCGAAGCAGACCCAGTTTGAATGCTCATTACCAAGTCCGAATAAGGAACAACTTTCGGTGATGGAATTGACATTAACTTCACAAACAAATAACAAACTCCTAAAGCAAAGGAAATTGAAGTGACAAGGGTAACCTTCTTCATATGCTTTCTCAAAAACATCCCAAAATCATTCAACGTTGATCTAACCGAAACCCTTTTCAATCTTAATGACAACAACCTCAACCTCGGCCGCAATCGTAACGAAAATCTCCTCTTTACATCAAAAAACTCCCTATTCTCCAAAAGGGCATCTTTATTTTTACTAGTTCTATCACTAATTGACCTTACTTTACTACAACAAACAACCTCAGGCAGCAAATTACTATAAATTTGAGGCTTCATTGAATAAAAAGAAGCACAATTATAATTGGGCAATACAGAATAAGATCTACATATACAGCTATCAAAAGATTTAGCTCTAACAGCATGAAATTTATAACTTCTGGGATTACCCACTAATCCACAACTAGAAACAAGGCAAAAAGATGACATTTTGATTATGTGATTGCGAAATTGCTACTGAAATTGACCCATCAAAACTATAATTGGCAACAAAAAAATTAAAAACCCAATTCTTTATACTGTTAATCAGAGTTATAATTAAGCTTAAATCCAAAAAAAAGCAACCATAAAAATTGAGTTTCTTCAGTAGTATAGGTGAAGAAGTGAAGGGAGATATGAAATTAATTCTACCTCGAATAATATAATGCCCCTGAAGATTGAAGAGGTGGAATTGTGTAGAACAGAAGATGTTGCTTCAACCTTAGGGGGGATGATTGGGAAGATAAGAATAGTTTTCGGTTTAAACCTCTTTTGTATGGTTTTTGTGATTTGGTGATATGGTGAATGTCTAAATGGCAAAAATCTAATGAGTTAAAGTTTGGGACGGATTTCATCATTTTCATGTAGAGTTGTAGAAGTTTATTTATTTATTTTTTTTATTTATCTTTTTTTTAAAAAAGAAAGAAAATCATGTTATTAATAAAATAGTAATACCATTTTATTTTAGAAATCGGAGTATATAAGTGGATAATGAGTCATACTATAAATAAAATGGAAAGAATGGATTTCTTAAAATTCATATTAGAAAACCTTTGATAAAGTGAAGTGAACATAGTTATAGAAGAAAAACACTTAAATATATTATCTTTAATAGTGTATGTTATTTGGGTAATTTCATTTTTTTTAGCGAATTTGAACAAAACATTATTTTCATATATTCATACACAACCTCATATTTTGGGGGGTTAGAAAGTTTAATCAAAGAACGATTTGAGGTTCCATAACATGTGACATTATAGTTGAAAGATATCTTGTGTTTTACATTAATTTCATGAACTTAATTAATAATTTCACCAAGGTACCCTAAAGCTAAACTTTTTTAGTGTGTTTCTCTGGAAAAAAAAAAAAAAAAAAAAAAAAAACCAAAACCAAACCTTGTTTTAGTAAGATGTTGGGTACCATGAAGGAAACTTGTTAAGTTTGTTTGTTGGCGGTTCCAATAGGTTAGGTTAGGTTGGGAGCCTTATAATTAGGAACTCTATGAAGAAATAGAACTAGAATAAATGTAACTGAGCAAAATCATAGGATTTATCAATTTTCACATAATTTATGTATTTACATATATGAATATCTCATTGTTTCTAAGCGGCGGCTAATTGCATGTGTTTCCTGCATCTTCAGGAGCTCATTTATCCCAACATATGGCATATGATCATCAAAAATACATGGTCCATAACACAAGGTTGAACAATTTAAGAATAACCATTATCCTTTTTACAATTTTACTAGACTAGATGTAACAATATCTAATAGACCCACACTAGGCACTAAACTAGTCGAGCATGTCTCAGAAATCAGAACCATGCTTTAACATAGTACCAATCACTCGACCAGCTTTCTCCAATGCTGTAAACCATTTCACAGCAGCTTCCTCTGGAACACCACTTTCTTTCGTAATGATTTCCTCAAAAAGTCGACACGACATCAGGAAGCATTTTGGTAAAAGAACCAGCAATATAAGCCCGTTTAGCGAGCAAATCCCAGACTTTCTGCCTAAGCTCTGTCATCTGATGTTGTACATAACCTTTTGTGGCTGATCCCTCAAAATTGCAGCACAAAAGCCCCCACCTTTTTACTTTTGAAAGAACTCATTCATCTTGTGAATGAGGTATATAAGAAGATTTCCAGGTCCCCTACTAAGATAAGCTGATAAGGGGAAGTGATGCAACTAGGAAGTAAACCATTTTGTAACTGAAGAAGAACATAACCCCAGTTCATGTACTGTAATTACTGTGATGTGGCAGACGCTTTGTTGAATAAAACATCCGGCAAAAGATCAGAATGCATTATCCTCTGAAGTGTATGTACGAAACCACTGTAACTGTTATGTTCACTTCATCAGGATGAACAAGAGAGGGAAAAGGAAAGGCCCTAGTTTGCAGAGTTGGTGACCAGCCAGATCAACCATTTAAATGCAACCTCAAGGACAGGAAAGGCTTCATAGTAAAGATATTGTGAGGGAGTGACACAGATGACAGATATGTCAAGAATCAAGTACACCTATTCATGTAAAAATATACAGAGTAATTTTTCCTATTAGCTATATGGGCATAAATCGTCTCTACCTTCTGGCAAGGCAAAAGTATTTCATGACCTGCTGCAATGTGATTCATAACCTGCAGAAAATGCATGACATTAGCTTCTGCTAAAAGAAATAGCATTAAATCAACATCACCTAAATGCAATGAGAAGAAATATGTAGTTTCCAATTGACCCATGATCTCATAAGCAATTCTATATTAGTCATGTTGATTTTACTGAAAAAACAGTGTTATGGACTGGTTTTGGAAATTAAGAACAGTAGCTAATTGAACATAATTTAGAGGAAAGCTTGGAAGGATTTTTGATTGAATGCAAGTCAAAGGTTACAAGGGATAGATAATAGCTTGAGGCTATTAGTCTCTAAGAGTAACTTGAGGTTACCAAACTCTTCAAAAGTCTAATCATCAAAAGCATACCCTGTTTCCTCCTCCCCCCTTTCCTATATATTACAAATTACTACAAAGAGAGTTGACTACAAAAAAGTGAATCTCTTCTTTTCCTTTCTACTTGTCTTTTACTATAAAAAAATCAAACAACTAAACCTCTGATTGTCTAATTTACTACTAGTGGCTGCTTCACATGTCTTCCTTGGTTGTTGTTGCCTTAGGTGGTGTTGTTGTTGTTGCAGTGTTGCCTTGCTGCCCCTTGTGCCTCCTCGTGTAGGTCCGAATGGTTGGTGCTAGTGGGCTTGGGCCATTTGAGTCCATTACAAACAGCAGCAATTTTTTAGTAGTAATCACCTAAACGGCTAAACCGCACGGTGCGCCTTTTGTAAGTAGTAATCGACAATCGTTCCTAAAGTATTCTATCTGATAACTAATTAGACATTCTTCTGCAGACTGCCAGACATTACAAAGCAAAAGCTAAGGTCATCCAGTCATTCAATTAGATAAGACTACAAGAGTTGGGAAGAACCTTAGATGGATACTGTAGTAAACACCTTGATTGTAGTCTGCTTGTAGGTAACTAAAGGAACAGTACATTCTAACTGGGCCAATCTTAAAAGTGGATGGCAGTGACAGGTTTAACATAAATACTTACTAAAAGGGAAAATGAGATCCATTTTAATGTCTAAATATACTGTTGAAAGAAGGCAAACAAACGATATTGGGCAGAAAAAAATCCTCAAAATCAAGGATAGAATTGGAAACTAAGAATCAACATTTACTACAAAAAATTAACACCAACACAGCAACCCACATCTAAAAATCCACACCCACACCCACACCCACACATTAAAATGAAACTAAGTTCAGCGTAAAAAATGCTATCCAACTTCATATCACCATTAATAATTTTACTAACTAATATGCAAGCAGTGACACCCAATCAAGAAAGTATTCTCAATTTGCCATATCCCAGACTAAAATATGGATAAATAAACAGAAAAACGATTATCTGTACATGAAGGCACAATTAGTTTCAGAGTTAATGACTACTAGCTAGGTATTTTAAACAGGATGAACAGAAGAACACAAGTACATAACGTATACATCAAAGACACAGCAATCAGATGGTTAGTTACCAACCTCTCCAAATCATAAAAGTACATTTAGATTAAAACAACATAAGTTGGAGTCAAAGCTAAACCAAAAGAGCAAAGCAACTTAAGTTAGCAGAAAATTTTATTTATTTATTTTTGTAAAAAAAGAAATTAGCAGAAAAAATTACCTGTGGTAACTTAGTAAACTTGCCTCGTTGACATCAGGAAGACCAATCAATTTACAAAGTACATAAATATGCAACTCACATCTATAATTCTATAAACTGCCAATATGATACCATTGCACCACGTCTTCCAGAATAAGAGTATTGAACAAGATTCAGCAGAATGAGTAAAGACCTGGGTTGTTATAGCTCTAAAATTTCGGCAAGAGAGCCATTTGCAACATTACCATTAAAATCTGAAATGCTGTCACTAATGGATAAGAGCATGTCTCGTTCACTGCATGGCAGGCCCATAAAAGGTTGTTGATTAGTCCAAAAGCTTCTAAACACCATCAGCAGCATTTTTGGATACTCCTCATATGTCAAGGGTTAAAAAAAGCTCTTTCACTTCCATCTCCTTGACGTTGAGATGCAAAGCTTCAGACACCACCAATCCTTATATTCAGGGTGACCAGAGAGGCTTACGGCACGGCTTATGAGGATGTTAAATTCATGACAGTAGGATCAGGTCTTCTTCATAGTAAACAACCTATACAGCATAAGTAAAGATGCCCCAACTTTGTTACACCAGTTTTGATATCTCTGCTAAGACACAGCTGAGGATTGATGCAGTAACAGCAGATCCTCCATGTGACAGAGACCAGGTAAGGAACAAGTATATCATCTAAAAACAACAGTTATAGAAATATAAAGTTTTGTCAGGGTATAACATTTCCATTGTACATTGGCCACTAACCCAGGTTCTGAAAGGATGAATCAGTAGCCTAGCCTGTGAAAGCTGCAGCTACACATACCACATTTGGCCCAATACATTTCCAATTGTCTCTCTGAGTTTTGGCAACTTTTATTTCCAACTTGATTTACTACTTATGTCCTTTTAGACCCAGGCGACCTGATGAACACTCCCTCCTTGGTTTTCCCCGACTCACTGTAGCTGGAAGCACTGAATAAGCCTGATCCCTTCCTAGAGTTGTATGATCCCGTCATGATCCCGCACACTTTGAAAGAAGCCAGGAGCCTTATCAGTCATTGCCTTTTTTCCCTCATGCATTCATCGATTTGTCCTCACCCAGCGAGCATCAAAATTATGTTCAGTCCTACAACTGCCACAATAACCTTAACCCATTCTGAACAATTACCAACTAATGGACATAGAGAGATATCTGACAAAAAAAAAAAAAAAAAAAAAAAAAAAAAACTTTTCTTTCCAATTGAGATGGTTTAGGTACCAGCTAAATGTTATAACCCTTCCATAATGTATTACTGGATCAGGCATTAGCCCAAATTTCCAAGGATCCTCACTGCTGCCCCATCAGAGTACAGGCCATTTTGCAACCGATCACTGAGAACAAGCATTTATAGCAATCTTCAGGATTTGGCATTGCCCAAGCTATTTGGTTAATCGGTAAGTTCCCACAAGTTATGCACTTGTATGCACTTTGTTCTTGATAGTTGATACTAAAATAATTATGCACTTCAATATTTACTATGCAAACAAACACTTCATTCACCTTTTTGGTGGCTTTCGGTGTGGCATACAACCAGCACTTAGCTTAGCACAAGGGTTAAATCGCCAATCTCCGGTCCTCTGGATATCAATATAATGGTAACATTTCTCTCTTTCTAAGTTTCTATATCTAGTCACAGTGATGGACTGACGGGTAACCACTGCTTAATCAGAAACACAGAGAACCACTTTGAATCAACAGCACTCCCAAGAAATGGAAATTTCCAAGTCCTTCAGTCATATAATTGTAGTTGTTTCCCTAGAACTAGCTATTAGCTACTAGAGATCAATCTTATCATCATACACTTTAATCTTTTCTCATATATAATTAATCAACATTACTAGGATTAAAATACACCAAGACTAAGGTCAGATTACTATGCTAGTTGACCTTACTTCACAAATGATTTTCCTTACAAAATGTACCCAGGGAAATGTTAATAACATCATTATATCAGTGCAACTTCACAATCTTTTCATTTAGCAAGATAGTCGAAATTAAAAAAAAAATCCAAAAAACTAAGAAATATTACTTACCTTATGTCAAAAGTAAGCCGGACAGAGAAACATATATTGAAAATCTGGAACTCAAAAGCTCACAAGTACTGCCAAAGCAGCTGTGTATTTTGATTCATCTGCAGTTAGTACATATCACAAGCATTCTAATTAGTGCCAACACTGTGGCGTTGAGGCCATATCTTCTATGAGGACAAAAAACCAACAGAAACCAACTCTTTGTATCATCAAAATGACGGATTTCGCAACTTTATTGAGCCTTGGAAAATGGAAACACAACTGATTAAACAAGCATGGTATGGTGAAACTCACAGACTCATGTGTACCAAAAGTAACCAATATGCATCTGAAAATGAAGGCTGCAATGAGCAAAGGAAGCATCTAAGCAACCATTACCACTGTAAAATGCAGTGTAAAATGCAGCAAATGAAAGCAAGAGCTAGAGATAGAAATGGAGATAGAGATAGAGAGACTAGGCTGGAAGGCTCCAGCACTGACATTTCTCATTTACGCTGGAGCCCAAACTTAATAAATTTGTATATTGAGCTTCAGCTCAAAGGATGCCAAACCATTGAGTAATATACAACAAAAGGTCTACAGCAGCTCACCTTACATTTCAATACTCGATATTTCGATAGTCGATATATGGTTATAGTATGGAGAAAACAACCACAGAAATGATTAGTAATACTAAAGACCTTCATAAATTGGGTGCATAAAGCTAAATCTTCAGAAGACAATGTACAAGCATAATCCACTCCCTGTGATTTAAATATAACACCAAAGTACCAAACAAATCATGGAAATCATCCAGAAATAAAAAGAAAAAAAAGGACAACTGCAAGCAAATGTGACAATGTAACTAAAAAAGGGAAAGTCAAAAAAGAGTGAACTTCATTAATAATGATTGGACTTTAACAGCAAAACAACTTAAAGGAGCAAAAGCTTGATTCTCCCCATCCCCCCTTTAACTAACTACAACCATGAAAAGTTGATTTTCTTTTTTTTTTTTTGGATTTTTTTTTTCAAAGGAGTGAGAATACATAATGACTAATTTTTAATATAAAAAACTCTATTGCAAACCTTAATTCCCTGTAACAAAGCCCTCTTTGCGGCCCTCAAACCCTGGCCTCATAAGCTTCTTTTCTCTCTTATCAATTTTTGACTGCTTCTTTTTGTCCTTCTTGGCCTTAATATTCTCATTTCTCTTATCCTGCTTCCCTCGCTTCATCTTCTCAGTAGTTTCAATCCTCTGCTTCCACTTCTCAACACTCTTGGCATGCTTCTTCTTATCCTTCTGTAAGCTTTTCTTCAGCAGCTTGGGATCATCATGCACTTTATTTCCCATTGTCCTCTCCATTGCTGACTTCCAAGAGTGCTGCTTTGCCAACTCACCACCCTTTTCCGGATCCTTCATTGCCTCTTCCAGCTTCTGAGCTCTTTGTAGCTCCTTCTCCTTCGACAATCTCCTCTTCTTCTTCTTAGATACTGCAATTAGAAAGAACAAAAAGTAGACAATTTTCAGTTCCCGTGTTCAATAATGTCCATCATAGTAACTACTGCCATCAATCCAACCTAGAAAAACATTTTAGCCATTTCAACATCTCATGATTTCAAATATATAAACAAATAAATAAATCCCATTAAAACTATAGAGCGGCATATATCACATTTAGCACAAACTAACCTCCAAACATAAATTCTACAATGGTTTGTATTATTAATCAGAAAAAATTGCTACAACAAAATATATGCTGGACCATAGTCATCTAACACAATTAGTTTAGCACAAGAACAATAAAACAGTAAAGATGTTACAACTTTCGACGATTGAATGATTAACCTTGCTGCAATTTACAAGAATAATAACCAATAATTCAACAGAAACAAGGCAAAAATTATCAAAAAAGAAATAAAATAAGTGCAAACAAAAGAGATTTTCCAATAGAAATTCTTACCATCATCACTAGAAGCAGCTAATTTCACCTTCCCAAACTCAATTCCTTTAGCAGCTTCTGAAACTTCCTTCTCAATATCTCTTTCATTTTCTTTCTTCTCCTTAACTTCTATATTCTCCTCTCTCTCATCATCCCTCCACCTCTTCCTCCCATCCTTCATCTCTCTCCTCTCCGCCTTCCTCCTCTTCCCCTCGCCGCTTCCATCGCCTCGGCTCGCTCGTAACTCCTCAATCCTCCTATGCAACCTCTGCCTCAGCTCCTCATATGTCACTGACCTCTTATCATCATCCAAATTCCTCATGTTAAACCCTCCCCCACCACCACCACCACCATCATCATCCTCCTCGTCATCTGAATCTTTCTTAACCGATTTTTTGCTCTCCAATGACTCCTTCAACAAATCTAGGGTTGATTTCGACGATTTCTCAGGGTCTAATCGATCACGTCTCGATTTCTTCGTGTTTTCAATCGATTTAAGCTTCGCTTCTGCTTTTGCTGCTTTGGATAACCCTTGAAACCACGGTTTTTCATCGTCGTTCGTCGGAAGGTAGAACTTCGCCGGAATTAACTCCACAAGCTTGTCGAAGAAGCTAGCATGGTCTTTGACTAAGGTTTTGATGTCGCCGACAACGTCGGAGGAGTTTCCGGCGACTGCGGAGGCGGTGGTATCGTCGGCGGCGATAATTAGGGCGTCAGAAGTTTGCTTCTTCTTCTTCATTTTTCGAATTGCGACGATAAAGGGCGGAGGAGAAAGCTGGGTTTTGTGCAAGAGAAAAAGGGAAGAGTTTTTTTTTTTTTTGTTTTTAGGGTTGCGAAAGATGTTTTTGTTTTTTGTTTTTTCGTTTTCTGGGCTTTTTTTGTGCGAATTCTTTGCTCCAATTTTAGTTCCAAAGGCCCCAAGTTCTGTTCTTTGTTCAATTGAGCCCCAACCCTACTTTGAGGTTGAGCCTTGTGGCTACATTGAATTTGATGGTCTTCGATGGATGGTAGATCGAGTAAAACTGACTCGTTTTATGTATTTGTTTCGAATTATCGTCTCTAAATATAGAAGATGTTTTTAAGTTATATTACTCCCTCTATATTTTAATAAGTGTTATATTTTGATTTTTTTACTATTCACATAATGATTTTGACTTGATTAATTTACTACTCATAATATAATTAAAAAAGAACAAATATTATTGAATAATACATTGTTGGATTCGTTATAATGTATACTTTTACAATATCAACTTTCCTATGATTTTAGTAGCATATAACTAGATATATCAATGGTCAAGCCGTGTATGATCAAAGTATAACACTTAATAAAACACGGAGGGAGTATTGAATTTAAATTGAAATAAACTAGACTAGATCAAGTGAGTAATGAATAATATTATTGAAAACCGACGGAATAATTCGTTGATTTATATGACCTTGAGAAAATTATTATAACTCAAGTTAAGATGAACTGAATTAAATTTAATTTAGAAAATCAATTAACACTATATTAATATGTGTACTTTCAATTTCGTACATGCGTATGGTAATTGTTTTGCAATAATAAATGTAGTTAAATTAAGATTAATATCTTCTAAATGGCTTAAAGTAACGGAGTATGTATGATTTAGGACAAAGTACAAGAGAAGTGTTCATGTTAGTGATTAGTCCGATAGAATATTTGCATTTATTACATACTCGTACTAAATAGTAAACGCTTGACACTTGACATCTAAGAAGGGTTCGTGTTGATTGTTACAATAATAAAATATATGTATGATATTGAGTATATTTTTCATATATCATTTAGCCATGGATTTACTTAATAATCAAACTTCTAATCGTCAATCCATGTGTGTCATTAATTCTTATCATGATATTTTCACTTGAACTTTATATGCTCCCCCCAACCTTTTTGGGTTTTGATTCCTTTATAGTCGCGTCATGAGATTTACCTAACTCTATAAAAGCTTGCAATTCTTATCAACGTACGATCATGATAAAACTACAAGAAGAATTTGAACTATTCAATAAGGATTTAAATAAAGTTATTTTGTTATACTGTTTGAAGCACACTAAATTTTAAAATACACTATTATTGAGGTTTAAAAAAAAAAAAGTTTGCATATAAATTTTCAAGAGTGCAAAAGAAATAATGAGATAAATGATTCTATACACTAAAAAATTAAAAAAATAAAAAATAAAAAAAAGGAGAAAATTTGGATGATAAAGGTGAGGTGTTATTTGAAATTGCTATATGCTAGATTATGTCTCATGGGTTGGTAACACTTTTGTCTCATGGGTTGGTAACACTTTTTTTAAAAAAACAAAAATAAGTTCTAATAACACTTCAATCATGAATAATTTTTATTTTATTTTATTTTATTTTAAATCCAAGAGGCTAGGTGATGTGAAAAATGATTCAACACCAATTTTAAGCGTGATCATTAACGCGTTAAAGTTAAAATGATAATTAGTTGATTATCATATATATAGTCAAACTATTATAGTTATATAAGTCTCATGACACATTATGCTCTAACTTTACTATTTATAACTATATCATATGTAAACTTGATATACTCATTAATTTATTAGTCTTACAATTTGTATGCACATAATTAAATATTAGGGAAAATTATATTCAAAAATTGATATTATGAAATTATATAACAAAATCTTACTTATAAAATAAATTTTTAATATATTAATGAATTTAAAAAATGCTTGTATTATAAACCAAGTTAACACTTATAATTATTGTAAAAAGTCAAATTGTGTCACTAATTTGAAATAAGTGGAATATTAATGAGCTATCGAGAAGGATCCAATCATTCTTGGGCAATAGACCTCTCATGTCACCATAAACCCTTTTTTTTAAAAAAAAAAAAAAAAATCCCAAAGGACACTAATTTTCATTGATTAAAGTCATACGACATCTACAATTAATGATTAACGACAAAGAAAATAGATTTAACAAAATTAAACAAGAAATAACTAGAAAAGGACTAAGAATCCAAATACATAAATATAACAATTCGGCATATTCTCGATTCATTGTCTCATACAACTTTTTGAGTGGATCCATCGTCGCTTCGTAATTTTTGGAGGAAGAAAAATTTTTGTGACAATTTTTTATTATATGGGTTGTTAAACACCGCCCTCGAATCTCCAGTTAACGACTACAAAATAAAATTCATTTTACGAATTTACCCTCCTGTATAAGCAAAAATTTACCATCCCAAACATAATATCTAACTCACCCTTACTCCTTTTTCTCTCTCTAAACCACCACCACCATAAGTGAAGTTACTTTATTGCACTTTATAACCTTGACCATCATTCTTCTATATACTGACATTACCCCTCATAGAGGTTTCTTTGGTCGTTTCAATTTTCCACCACCACCTACTTTTACCACCTCTTTTTACCACCACCACCTCATAGATCTACCTGATTTTCACGCAAAAATACTGAGGAGGATAAGGGGAAAGCTGTCGTCGATGGCGTCGTCGGAGGCAAGTTTTTTTACTTTTTTTTTTAATTTTCTGGTATGGGCTGATATGCCCTTTTTTCCGAAAAACTAAGGCGGTAACGCCTAGATATTTCGAACCACCATGGGACGTTCGAAATTTTTGGGCGTTCCACCCCAAACGCCCAGAAATTTCGAACGTCCAGCGGTGGTTTGAAATTTGTAGGTGCTTTCGCCACGGTGGTTCGAAATTTCTAGGAGCAGCAACTGCAGGTAGAAGCAATTTGCAGAATGTCATTGATAATTTTCCCAAAATCTGAAGGGTAAAAAATCCTCTTCTCCGGAGCATGAAACACCTTCTCTTAATACTTTAAAAAAACATTTACATCTTAATACTTTAAACAAGAATGTCTTTCAAAGAATCACTTTAAACAAGCATTTACATCTTAATACGAGCCCACACCATCCAAAATTTTGCGCATGCCTCATTTTTTAGTTGTTCTTGGTTTTGTTGCTATTGTTGTTGTTGTTATTATTGTTGTTGTTTTTATTATTTTTGTAATTATTGTTGGTGTTATTATGATAATTGTTATTGTTATTTCTTCTTATTATAGTTGTTCTATTTGTGTTAGTTTTGTTGCTATTACTATTATTATAATCAAATTTTTGTAGACGATAAAAGTGGTAAGTTGAAGTAAATTTAATTTTTTAATAACAAGGGTAAAAACGTAATTTCAGATTATAAATATGGGCGTTAGCTGGAGATTTGAGGACGCCGCGACCATAAACCCTTTTAAACTGAATCGCTATTCGTCGTTCGCAAATTACTGGGTGACGTTCACATTTTTAATTAAAATGGCATTTTTGCCCTTGTGGGCATTTTATCTATTTAAGGGTCCACCATGGGTAAATTTAGTTACCGACAACATTAAAAACATTACAGAGCCCACCACTTGTGTTAAAAAAATCCCGAGCATTAAAAAATCTCGGTTCCACCATTGTACGCTAATCCCGAGGAATTTAAAAATCCCGGCCAGAAAAGGAAAGTGTACGGAGTGGTGTTTTACGATGGCCGACGACAACGGTCACACGCCGGAGGGTTCGACGGAAGAATCTGTAAGTATTTCGGATTTTTTTTTTTTTTGTAAAAAGGACATCCGCTTTTTTTCCGGAAATCTGGGGGAGATCCGCCCAAAATTTCCGGATGTCCCCAATTACATCCGGAAATTTCAGGCGGATGTACACATCCGGATGAAATTTCCGGATGTAATTAGGGACATCCGGAAATTTTGGGCGGATCTCCCCCAGATTTCCGGAAAAAAAAAAGCGGATGTAATTTTTTTTTTTTTTTACGTAATTGTTATTGTTATTATTATTATTATTATTATGGTTATTAATATTAGTTTTGTTAATTTTGTAAATTTCTGTTATGATTATGATTATTATTAATATTATTACTACTATTATTATTACTATTGTTGTTATTATTATTATATTTGTTATCATTTGTTAATGTTACGTAGTTATTGTTGTTATTATTATTAGTATTATTATTGTTATTGTTATTATTATTATCATTAGTATTATTATTGTTATTATTATTATTATTATCATTAGTATTATTATTGTTATTGTTATTATTATTATTATTATTATTATTACTATTAATACTATTAATATTATTGTTGTTATTATTGTTATTTTTATTATTATTATGATTATTTATATTATTATTGTTATTATTATTGTTAAATTTAAAATACTAATCCTTGCGTGTTTTATTTGTTTGTGTTGTTATTTTGATAGGATTCGGAGGTTGAAGACGACGGTGACGTTGTGAATTACAGTGCACATTTTGTGACAGACACGGTTTTTCTAACGTTTGACGATGCAGTTACATGGGCGGATGCTGTTGCAATAAATCTGGGATTTATTTTGGTGAAATCGTCTTTCAACAAACAGAGGGATGGTCGACCAGTTCGATATTTAAGATGTGACCGGGGACGCACGAGTAAGCCGAGAGATCTTGAGAACGCAATTCGGAAGGACACCAAAACCAAGGGCATTGGTTGTCCTTTCTACATCAAGATATGTTACGAGTTCGTCACCAATACTTGGTTTATCCGGGCGAAAGATGATGTAACTGGGACCCACAACCATCCAATGATTGTGTATCCAGAGGGTCATCGTAAAATTAGTGGGTTGAGCCCGAACGCGAAGCAGGTTGTGCGTGACATGACGAAGTCTAAGGTTGCACCACGTAACATCATGGCGACTATTGCGGAGCAATTTCCTGATGATCATCCAAACATCAGACACATCTACAACTGCCGGAATGACTTCAGAGAGGAGATGTCTGATTGGAGAGGAGTTGTTCAACAATTTCTACATCTGGCGAGACAGAGTCAGTATGTTTACTGGGTCATGTCCGATGATGAAGGCGTTTTACAGCACGCCTTTATGGCGCATCCAGTCATGGTAGACATCCTACGGACGTACCCGTATGTGATCGGTATGGATTCCACTTACAAGACTAACCGATACGGGATGCCGTTCTTTGATATAGTTAGCGTGACACCGACAAATCAGAATTTTCTCGTCGCTTACGTGTTCATGCGCAACGAGAGCACGACAAGCTATCGATGGGTTTTGCAGAGGTTGAGAGATGTGATTGGGTATGATAAGGAGTCGTCGGTTTTCTTGACAGACCGTGAGCTTGGGCTATGTGCTGCATTGAGGGAAGTGTTTCCAGGAACCTCGCACTTACTTTGTCGATGGCACATTAACAAAGATGTGGAGGCTCGGGTCACTGCTATGTTCAAAAACAAGAAGACCGGTGCGTCTTTCAAAAACGGAAAATGGAAACGTATCATGTACGCTGCAACCGAGGAAGATTATGAGGCCGCTGTAGAAAACATGAAAGATAGGTGGGCAAGTTATCCAGCAGTGATACAATATGTAGAGAACACGTGGCTTTGTCATAAAACGAAGTTCGTGACATTTTGGACAAACCAAGTTCTACATTATGGCAACACCAGCACATGCAGAGTTGAGAGCCAACATTCGGCCGTGAAGATGTGGTTTGATTCCTCGACAAGTTTGGTGTTTGCTTATTGTACTTCATGTATGTACTTTTATTTAGGAATTTCAGTTACAAATCATAACGGTTTTTCTTTATAATGTGCAGGTTTTTTGGATACCGTATGGGCTCGAGTTCATAGCCACATTGGTAATCAAATCATCGCAATTCGTAATGGTTTGGAGGCTTCTAGGTCGAAGATAGGTAAAAAGTACCGACAGTTGCCACTGTCACGTATAAACGGGAAGGTGTCTCAGCATTGTTTGAAGGTTCTCGATGAGGAGACAAGGAGGATGAGGGAGCTGAGTTATCAAGTGCACGAACGATGTGGATGTGCAATGCGTGTGACCCACGGGTTGCCCTGTGCATGCCAGATACATGATTCACTAGCTGCTGAGACATGATTGTACATAAGGCAAATTCACCCGTTTTGGAGGACCTTGGTTATTGGTTCTGGAGATGGTGGGACGGTGCCTGGCAATGACTCGACCGAGGATGCCGCACATTTTCGTTCTCTGATGGAGGAGGTGTTTGATAGTGATCCTGCTGTTCTTCGAAACGTGTCTCGCATCATTGAAGAGGAGCTGCATCCGGATCATTCCGATCTCAGAGAGTCTGCTGTAAACCACCGGGTTCGTGGTCGACCAAGAAACAATGATACAAGACGTGATCGTTCTTATTTTGAACATGTAAACCGCCAACACACTGAACGCGGCGCACGACAAACAGGTACGATTGAGTGTTGTGTTTTTTACATAAATCAGCGTTCACTAAACTATTAACTGAAACCTACATTTGTGTAGGAGATGTAAACGACATTAGCCAAAGCCGTTATCGACACATGCTTCCAAGGCCGATGTTGCCTTACATCACAAGATGGAAGGATGTCATTGGCGATGGGAACTGTGGGTTTCGTTGTGTGGCCGAGTTCTTCTTCGGTGATCAAGGCCGATGGTATGACGCTCGAGAGACAATAGCGAATGAGGTCCTCGGTTATCGAGCCCTATATGAGAGGATTTATGGGCTTGGAAGACTTGAGATCAATGTGCAGCGTATTCGATGGGACGGTGGGGCGGTTGATTCCCGTCATTGGATGGTTGCAATACAAGATTTATTTCCTATTGCGACTTGGTTCAACGCAGCGGTTATTATTCTTGGTGTAGGCCAAACACCAACTTGCTACTACCCATGCCTCACGATATTGCCGTTGCGGGCAAGAAGGGGGGTCACAGCACCGGAGCGAGAGTTTGTCATCGCTACAGTTGGGGCCTCACATTTTATTTGTATTGAACTTGCACCTGATTCGCCACTTCCCCCGGTTGCAGGTTGGTGGACCGAGCACCACGACCCAAGTCCTGTTGATGACCTCCATAGACCGACCCATCCACTTCAATTAAAAAAACAACATATTAAATAAATCACAAGTTTTTTTTTTTTTTTAAAAAAAACAACATATTAAAAACAACATATTAAAAAAACAACATATTAAAAACAACATATTAAAATAGCAACTTATTAAATTATACCAAAAAATGCAACTACTGACGTAATCCGTGTTAGTTCTCTCTGGCAGTGTGTGACTCTCATGTGATGACGCAACTGGAGAAACACGTGGATGAGAAAATCGGTACAACCACTGCATGTAACCAGGACCGACTGTAGGAGCACCACCACCAAGTCTGCTGAGGGCACCTACCACGACACTAAAAGACATACCAGGGACAAACCGAGTCCACATCACAGATGTCATCTCTGGCGGAAAGTCAACCCGATACATCTTCAAGTTCGTCGGTCTCTTAGCCTTCTCATAATGGCTGGTGGAAGGCCCTGGACGTATCCAAGTTGCCGAACCACTCGATCAGGCATGTATGGCTCAATGATGCTACGATACTAGATGCAGCCAATGAAAAGAGTAGCAGGCACGCGTCGTGCTGGATCAACTCCGTACGGTAGCCAGTTAACTTCATTGTCAGTCAAATGATCCAACCTAGCCCGAAAAGCGAGAAGGCGCTCCATGCTCTTGTTAGGGCACCCCGATCCAACATCCCAGGCGGACGCACGAGGAATAGCAAGCTCTCTGGTCAAGGTCCCCTGCTGAGGCCGGAAACACGGAAAGTACTCGTAGATCCACGCCTGCAGAAGCGTAAGGCAGCCAGCGATAGAATCAGCATCTCTTCGTGATGTTGTACCCAATTGCCGGTACATGTATGCTAGCACAGCAGAACCCCAGGAGTACTCACTAATCTGAACATCCTCAACAAACAGCTCGTTGAGGAAGGAAGGATGAGTACGGTTTCCACTCTTGTCCAAAAACAAACAACCGCCGAGTACTAACCACAGGTACGCCCTGTAATGGAAACTGAAGGGCCTCTGCGCCTCCAAGGTCGACTCCACTATCCTCTCAGTCAGGACCCCATTACCCTGCCATACGATTTTGGTACCGCACTTCTCATTCAGCTCTTCCTCAGTCATATCCAAGGTAACCGAGCACGCGTCCCGTAAAACGTCCGTGCTAGGAGTAGTGGAAACCATGGAACCGTCGACACGAAGCCCTAGAATATGATACACATCATGCAGCATGATCGTGATCTCCCCAAAAGGCATGTGAAACGTGTTCGTGTCTGGCTGCCATCTCTCAACAAAAGCAGAAATTAAGGGCCAGTCAAATCGCCGGAACATGATACCGGGTAAATGAGATAGACTAGTGCCATCAATCGGTTCCAGGTGCTCCGGCGGAAGACGAGCGCGCCAGTTACCCAATTCAGAACACAACTGTGTCCTGCTCAAACACCGCAACACGTTTCGCTCCTGCCCACCCCATATTTAGGCAGACACGTGACCCCCAAAACTCGGAATAACGGTACCATCCTTAGGCCTACCTGGCATCGGCTCCTGCACCACCCATGACTCTAACGAGCTGGTAGAAGCTTGACCTGGTTCACTACTGCTAACATATCTCCCATGGTCACCCCTATACACAGTACGGTAATCCTGAGGGTCGTACTGTGCATCTCCAGCAGATTGACTTCCTCAATCTTCATCCTCATCCTCATCTGATGAAGGTACTCCAGTAGACGAATACATGGGGGCGCTCCCCTGTGACTGGTGCTCCCCCGACCAAGCACCAGCAGTCCCATACTGCTGCTCATGCTGAAACGGTGCATGTGAAGGTCCTGCACAACCTAACTCCCTCCTAACAGACGTATTCAAACGTCTTGATCTTGCATGACGAGGACCAGAACCCTCAATCTGCATTAAAAAAATAAGTACAGAATCATATTTCAATAATAATTCATAGTAAAAAAAATCAAATCAAAACTATAATAAATCAAATCAAATAAACAATAATAACAACATTACAAATAATAACAATAATATTATTCTTACAATACTAATACACTACTAACAATAACAACACACTAACACACTACAAATAATTTTAACACAATAACAGACCAAATCAAAACTATAATTAACCACAAAACTGCCAAAATTTAAACTCAACAACGACAACCCAATAAAAAAAACAATTACAATAACAATAACAACAATTTAAGTAAACAACCATAATACATAACAACAACAGCAGCAAAAACCAATACAAACCAAACCAAATTTACATAACAATAACAATACATAGCAACAACAAACTTATTAAAATAAAATCAAGAATTATTGCTAAACTATAATTATTGTAAAACTAAATCAACAAAAATTACATATAAATAACTATTGCAAAACTAAATCAAGAAAAAAATTATTTTAAAGCCACAAATGAAGGACACAAATTACTTCAAAAATAAAATAAAATGAAGGACACAAATATTTTCAAATTAAAACATGCACCAAATCAACAAAATCGAGGACAAAAAAAAAATAAGAAGAACATAAATTAAAAAACAAAGGAAAAACAGAAGAAAAAAAAACGTGGAACAACAGAAAAACACAAAAACCAAAAAAAAAGGGAAAAACAGAAAAAAGGGGAATAACAGAAAAAAAAAACCTGGAAACTGGACTTCCGCCCAGAAAATCCGAAAGTTCAGGGGAACTTTCGGAAATTTCAGGCGGAAACCCCACTTCCGCCTGAAATTTCCGGAAGTTCCCCTGGACTTCTGGAATTTCCGGGCGGAAGTCCAGTTTCCAGATTTTTTTTTTCAAAATTCAAAAATTTAAAACAAAAAAAAAACTCACCGGCTCGCCGCCACTAACGCCGCAACCACGACCACCAAACGTCAGCCTAATTCTCCGTCGGTCTGCCATTGTCGGATTCAACGTTTGATTGCAAGATTTGCTTGTGTTTGAGTAGCCTTCTTGGTTTTTTTTTTTTAAAAAAAAATTCTGATTTTTTTTCTTCATATTTTCAGATTTTTTGGAAGGTTTTAGAGAGAGAAAGTGTCAAAGAGTGATTTTGTGATATGGGAAACGTCTCGTAAAGCCTTAACTTACTTTATCGAGTATTTATATACGGAGGGCAATTTAGGAAATTCATGTAAAAAATGTGAACGTCACCTAGTAAAATGCGAATGACGTTTAACAACACCCCTTTTAAAACAAAGGTTAGAGAACATTCTTTTCCACTCAATTGTGGCTAACATGCAATATTGTTATTGTCAAAAATTCCTAAAAGTGGAAAATAATCAAAATATAAGTTACAAAAAAAAAAAAAAAAAAAAAAAAAAGAGAAAATAAAATAAAGAAAGGAATTACACAAAATTCCCCCCAATCAGTTCCCAGGTCCCAGAGTCAAATGTTCATAATTTCTGGTTGGTCTATCCATTTTTGGTCTTCATCAAATAAATCACCCAGATTTTCCAGCACAACAACAAGATTTTGGTAGAAAATTATACAATTTCCTAGATTTTTGCCCCCAAAATTCTAAAAGTTTAGTTAATTTTCTACTTCTAGATCACCGTTGTTTACAGAAGAAGCCGCTTCTGGGTTTTTCTACTCTCATGGTATCGTTCTTTCCTTTCGTTTTAACTTGTGATTTTTTATTTTTATTTTGAAATCATGTTATTGATCTTTTAACAAAACCCAGTTGACTCTGATTGAAGAAAAATCGTGGGGTTTAATGGGTTTTTCTCAGATTTTGAATTTTCTTATGTAAATTGTCTTTTTCTGTGATTTGTGGGCATTTTTCGCGTGATCTTTCAGTTTCTGGGTTCAAATTTGTACAATCTCGCTTGTTTTAGTTTGTTTGATATGCTGTGTTGGTCTGTTAAGCTGTAAACTTAATTGGGTGTTGAAAAACTACAGCATGCATAGATGATTATATGCTATGTATGACAATGTTGGCTGGATGAGCACGATCATGACAAAATCACGCGTCGATTGATGTTACTTTGCTTCGCGTAGGGCTAAGCAGAACAATGTCCTGTGATTATTATTGAAAACATATGCAATCCCATTTCTAAATTTTGTTCTTTTACTTTTGCATTGAATTCCCAGAAACTTGGTGCTGTTCAATTGGGGCAAGTTGCAACATGCTAAGAAGAGTGGTAGGGGAATATTGGGGACTTAAATCGTGTGTTAGATAGTATGATGGAGAAGAAGAAAATAGATGAAGATGATTCTGGACCATCATCACCTAAACTAGTGGACAGATTTGGGTTTATAAAGCCAGAAAGTAGCAGTTCTCCTGATCAATTAAAGAGGAGCAAGTCGACTTCTGGATCAGAGAGGTAATTATTGTGGAATTTAAGTTGTCCTAGCATGATCACTACATCATGTGCAATTCTTTGTAGGGTTCGTCATTTTTGGCTTTTGGGAAAATTTGAATGCATAATTTGATGGCACATGACTTAATGTTTTATGTAAGATGATGTTCATTTGACAGTTTTCTATCAATTGCAAGTGTCTACTTATTTTTCCCTTATAATCCTTAAGGATAGCATAAGCTTTAGTATGAAACTGTTGTTTCTATCTCAACCAACTGGATTGCCTTTGTAAACTTTAATAACAGATCACACTTTGACCTAATTATATCCTTTCATCGCTTTGATAATGCTTAATGGAACAGTGTGTCAGTGATACTACTCTTCTCTGACTTTAATGTCTGATTAATTAAATTCTGGATACAAACCATAGCATGGACTTATATCCTCTTACATTACTGTGCCACTACAATCAACCTATGTCTCTCTCTCCTCTCTCTGGTGGGTGGGTTATCTGAGGGATTATAGTTGTTTGTTGGTTTTTCCTTCCATGTTTTTGCTATTCACAACTTATACATTGTTGCATTTGTTGATGCATGAAAAACTGTCTTTTGCTCAGTATACATAGACAACATAGCTGAGTCTTCAAAATTACATACTCCCTCCTTTTCATTTATCTCTCTATCTTTTGTTTCCCATGTTATTTATTAATTACACACATGAGATGGATACCTTTCACAGGGAGGAAAGAAGAGTTCGAAAATGGAGAAAGATGATTGGGGTTGGTGGGAGTGATTGGAAGCATTTTGTAAGGAGGAAACCTCTTGTCGTTAAAAGACGTGTAAGAAAAGGTATTCCTGATTGTTTGAGGGGCCTAGTTTGGCAATTAATCTCTGGAAGTCGTGATCTCTTGCTCATGAATCCTGGGGTCTATGAGGTAATCATCCTCCCATTTTTTTAATTTTAAAACCCTAGAGGTCAGGTTCTATCCTTTTCCTTGGGAGTTAATGATGCATTATCTTTTGGCTTTTGGGCTATAGTGAACTATATATGATTGATTCAACTGCATGTGTTTCTTATTTTGAAGTAATAGACAATTGTTAATTTGTTGGGTATTGAAGTAATGGTCAATTTGAAACCTCTTTGTTGCAGAGGTAAGGTTGTTTACATTGAACCCCCTTATAGAACCAAGGGTAGGAGCTTATTTGGAGGTATTGGGTTTGGACTTTACGCATTATTGCTAACTTTTCTGGAAGTCTCATGTGTATAATTTAGCACCTTCATCTTATCTTATAAAGGAGAGAAATAAACTTGCCAATATCCAATTGGACCCTATACAACTAAAACAATCTTTCTGCGTCACATGGAATGCTAGGAATGAATTTCTCTTTTCAAGATAGTTTTTGAGCTTGTGATCTCATGTGTATAGCAATCTCAATGCTCCTTGGGACAGTTCCTGTGATTGGTTCCGCAGCTGTTAAGCAATGTCTTGGTATCTTTTGTATCTACCTGTTTTTCTATCAGTAGTTATTTAATATTTGGTTTGTCAAATAGTCTTCTATTAAATCAAGAAACCTATTGTAGTCTGTTAATTGTTGTCTCCTACCCAAGTTGAAGTAGTCTGCATTACTCTGCAGTTTCAAATGTGACTAAGTGCTGCTAATTTTAGCCTCAAGTGCCACACCATAGGTATTGTATTACTTGTTTGTTAGCCAAGGTTGAGTGGAATTTGATCTTTTTATTATTATTATTAATTTTTTTTTTTTAATGAAAAATGTCTGACAAGCTTTATAGTGCGTTATTTCTGGCTTATCTCGTTAGCTGTAGTGAACAAGGTTTACACCGATCCCATTTGATGATATGTGAGTCAATGTTTTAGGACTCTTGATATGCTTAGTAAGCTAGATCTAAAAATACTGGGTCTTTCTATTTCCCTTTTTTTTTTTGAAGTAGGGTGGGGTGTGCCCTTACAAGATTCAGTTGCATGTGTATCATGATGATTAGCAGATCATTTTTATTTGACATTAACAGATCATGATGATCATCTATTTATCTATATTATGTGTCATTTGTCAATTTTCATGCCTCTTTAAGTCTTAAACTTAAGCATGTTGCTGTTTTAACTCAAATATCAATGGATTTCTATTGTCTTGTTGTGTGTATATTAAGTGACTTTATAACCAATTGGTGCCTCATAGCTCAACATGTAGTGTTGGTTTTGAGTATTTGTTAAGTGTATCTGGATGTCATTGCTCTTTTCACTTCCATCTTGTTTATTTTCCATATTAGGTTACATGTATTAATTTCATTTACTAATATTTGGTGCAGCAACTGGTTATATATGAGACTTCAGCGTCAGAGCTGGACATTATTCGAGATATATCACGTACTTTCCCATCTCATGTCTTCTTCCAGCAAAGGCATGGTCCTGGTCAGAGATCACTCTACAACGTTCTAAAAGCATATTCTGTATATGACAGAGATGTTGGATATGTTCAGGTTTGCTATATCCTGTAACATCTTTTCAGGTGAAGACAACTTGTCACCTATGAATTTCTTGATGAATCTGTTTTCTGGAATGCAGGGTATGGGGTTCATAGCTGGTCTACTGCTTCTTTATATGAGCGAGGAAGATGCATTTTGGTTGCTGGTTGCATTGCTTAAAGGAGCTGTTCATGCCCCGATGGAAGGGTTATATCTGGTAATATATGATTTTATGCATGAGTAATGTATTATTAGCTTTTAAAAAAAAAAGGTTTCAACTTTATATAGTCCCATTCAATTGTTATTCTAAATCACTTTTGCTGTACTATCAATGTTCCCAACATGTGTTTTGAACTAATGTCCACATGCAAAGTTATGGCTAGAGTTATTGTTAGCTTGTATCTGTTGTAAGTAACTTTGGGAAACTCTGCTGGAGGGGTCTGCATACTGACAGATTGAGTTTGGAAATCTAGAGGATGTTAGGACTTTGTGATGTATGTCATGTACATGGTAATAATACTGCTCTTGGCCGGTGAGAGCCCTGAGAGAGTGAGAGACTGAGAGGTGCTGGGTTGTGGAGGACTATTCAGAAAGTTATGAAGAAACGCTGATCCATGATTATAACATAACTACAACTGCTACAACATGAGCATGTTTTGTGGATACTGAATAGAATTGTGGTCAATGGACCCTGCCTGTTTTAGTATAATAAGTTCTGGACCTTCCGGTCCTAGGTATTTAGGTTAAATTTAAGAGAATGAGGTTTATGCAGAAAATAATGTCCATTGTTAGGTGCCACCGTACCACTGGCTATTCACTTTTGTGCTTGTAGTTGTATGTTGCAGCTAATATTATGGTAATGGGCTGATGGTTGTTGAAAATTAAAGAGGTAGTAATTGACCAAGGGAGCTGTCCAAAAGGTTTCGAATGCTTACTGTGTCTGGGATATTGCTGTGCTAAAGGTGTTGTGTTTTAAGCCTTAAATTGAAAAGCAGGGACCTATTTTTGATCTGTTGGTTAAACTTGGGAGATTAGCTGTTAGAACCATCAAGTTCACTGAAATACTGATTCTGTCCTTGATGCTTTTCTTTATATTTCTTTAGTAAGTTCTTGAGTTCTAGGGTTGTCCTAACATAATAGCCTATCCCCTTGTTTGCGGCTTTGGTGTAGTGTTGTACCAGGATGGTTGTCATAATCCTGGTAGATTCTTGCGTGGCTGTTCTGAAAAAGTAAACCAAAAAGGACCAAGTTGAACCTACCTTGTGGTCTGGCTAGAAAGATTACAGTATAAGTCACTGACCCAGAGTGTGGCAGTGGAATCCATGATGATGAACTCAACGATGTTTGTAGGACCTATTACAGGTAGCACATATGCCAAAAAATCAGTATGGCATGGCATGACTGGCAGTATGGCAGTATCTGGGTAAGATGTTTAAGTTGGTGCCCCCAATGGGTCATGGGATGGCTGCTTCAGTGGTGTTTTTGTGTTTGTCTTTAACTCTTGGGCTTTTAACATAATGTAACCTATGGTCTATGGGTGTGTCCTTTGTTGCAATCTTCTTCATGTTATAAAGATGTCTGATTCATTTATTGTATGGAAAGTCTTATCCTGTTAATTTTCTCTTATAAAATTGTGGCCTTTTCTAACTCTTGGAAGTCATTACCTGAATTTCCCCTCCATTAATACTTCTGGATATAGATATATGACTCTTTTACCGTGTACAGTCAGGATTGCCTTTGGTACAACAATACCTTTTTCAGTTTGATCTTTTGGTGAAGGAATACTTGCCCAAGCTTGGAGATCATTTTTCTCAAGAGTTGATAAACCCCAGCATGTATGCAAGTCAATGGTTCATCACTGTGTTCTCTTATTCTTTTCCCTTTCACTTGGCCCTACGAATTTGGGATGTCTTTCTTTATGAGGTTAGTAAATTACTTTAATATTTGTAATTAAAAAACTTTAATATTTGTAATTAAAAAAAAAAACATTTTTTTTTTTTTAAAATCCCCTATTGTTTAGGTATTTCTGGAATTGTGTTCATATTTTTTCCCCCTTCATGGACAGGGTGTAAAAGTTGTCTTCAGAGTTGGTTTGGCCCTCTTGAAGAGTTGTCAAGATGACTTGGTGAGCGTTTGTACAATTTTCTGCTTTTATGTTTAGCTTTTATTGGGGATGATCATGACGAAGAATTTTATTTATACTGTACTCATCATGCCATCATGGAACAATATGTGCTCGAATGTGGTGGCCTTACTTGAACGGTTAATAATAAGAAAGGTTGTGGAGGACTTGTATGTGTGGGTGTTACATGTGTGTTCGTGTTATTCTTGGATCAATTATATGTAGAGTCTGATTTCCCATGGGGGGTTGTCTATTTCTCTGTTGCTTTTTGTTTAAACTCTGATTTTACTTGTACTTGGCTGCTGATGATCAAAGTGTTTTATTTGATTATCAGACGAAGTTACCTTTTGAGTCACTCATACATGCGTTGAAAAATTTTCCTGAAGAAGTCATGGACCCTGATACATTGTTGCCCTTGGCCTATTCAATCAAGGTTAGCACTTCCATCTTTATTAAAAAACTCAGTTTCTCTTATGTGGTAAAATATTTTAGATATCATGATGGGTTTAAGTGTTAGATGGCTGTTTTTCATGGACATCTTATATGATCAAGAATTAAAGAATTATAGGGCTGCTTTGGGGTTTTCTGACTAATAGGAAGGTAATTTTGGAAGAAAATCACCTGGCAATGGATGGTATTGTCGATCTTTGAGACTGGGTTGTTGTGAAGTGTTATAATCGAAGTTGTAACTTAGCAAAAATCTTCTTTTTGCTGTTAACCCAAAACTTTTAAAAAAATATTTATTTTACATATTCTACAGGATGTACCTGTGGAACCTCACACACTTCCCTAATATACTACAGGATGTACTTGTGGAACCTCTCTCACTTCCCTACCTCAAAAGTTCTATTTGGAATGATCTGCAATTAAACACCAAAATAAGTTAATGTAAAAAATGATATCCTAAAGAAAGATAGGCTAATTAGCAGGGTCCTAGATTATTTTTGCAATGAATTTAATGTGGTTTTTGTACGTTTTCCTCCCTAATTTATAATGCTTTAGAAGGTAACTTTTGCACTCTTACATTTCATCTCAAGCTAGGTTTCCTTTGACTAAAATTTTCGTATCTTATTCTAATTCAGTACTCCGTTTAATTTATACTTCGTCAACTTTTGATGCCTAGATTTCGAAGCGTTTAGAAGAATTGAAACTTGAATATGAGAAAGTACATGGGAAAGAAGGCCAATCTATTATCACAAGAGGGAAACAGAAGCAGCTGTTAGAAAGGAATGGTTCTTCTCGTCATAGCAAGCAAGCTGAAAAGCAGAAAGGAGGATTAATTCAGTCTCCTGAAGCTGTCTTGCTACAAAAACTCTCATTGCGGCGACATTTCTCTCATCGAAAGGCAGAATATGACAAGCTTGATGGGTCAGTAACTCAATCTGGTCAGGAGTTACAAAGACGTGATTCTCAGCTTATGTCTAGACACGCCACTAGTTAATACAGCAAACATTGATTCTTTCATTCTTTCATAGTGTGATTGTACATTTGGGTGAATGTATACAAAACATTCTTTAGGCCAATATGATTGCTTATGCGATCTGATTTTTGTGGATATATATATATGTCTTCTTGGTAATATAATCATGGTGATTTTTTGAAAGTAGGTGGCTGTTTCGTCATGCATATGTATACGTATTTCTTCTGCAGACGGAGGTATACTGGTGTAGCTTAAGCCTTTTGTCAATTGTTGGTCTGCAATAGGTTTTTGTTTTCCAGATATAATCTACACAGCAATGCAGTCAAAAAAGTGTTATTCAAGCAAAACAGAATCGATAGGTGTGCTGATATGATATTGACAAGTAAGTTTGCGTTTCAGTACGAAGTATTTATAAAAGTTCCCAGTATTATTCAAGCGTATTCAATTGATTAGATAACAGTACTTGTAAAACCTCCATTATTATTAAAAGCTAGGTACATCTACCTCTTATTTTAACATCTTGTTCTACGCATTAACACCATTTACTTAGATGCTCTTGTAATCAAGGCGGAGGTGGAGTAATTTTGTGAGGATAATTGCTACGAATGCAAACTGCAAAAAGTAATACTAGAGTATGATGAACAATAAGGTCAATAACAAGAAGAAGAAGGAGATGAATAGATTTCAAAGCCGACGAAAAAAAGGAGGGCTTGTTCAACATTAATCTCTATTCTATGCACATATACTTCGTTTGTACTCCATACTCCGTAATAGACTTGATCTATTTGCATAATTGCATGTGATGCAATACATGTTTTAAATTTCTAAATTTATACGAATTACGTAGTAATTCCTCTGTTATATACTTATATCATTATTGACCATAAGGGATTTACACATTTCAAATTCAATGTACATTTGCAACGTTGAATATCTTTAGTTATAAAAACTTACGAGTACCCTTCATACAAAAAGTTAATACGAAGTGTTTGGGGTAGAAATACCCCAGACATGTGGCCCTATGGGCAAGCGACACGTGGCACCCAACCATTGGTCAGCAGGGCTCCAATCCCCTGCTAACACGTGTCCCATGAATCCTAAATGGGGAACCAAGCCTCCCCACTATAAATAGTGGAAGGACCCCATTAATGGGGTATTCAATACATTCAAAAAGACATACACCAATCTTGAGCAATATTAATTGCGGAATTCTCTCATTACGTGAGAAGGAATTTCACTATTTACGCACACTTTTCCTCCTATACGTAACTGACTTGATCGTCGGAGGCGGAGCTCCAACCAACCGGGACTTCGTGGTTTTGCAGGTACAGGCGTTGAAGGGCATTCTCGGAATTGTAACTCTCCCGCAGGACACATCAAAAAACCCCGAAACACGAAGTATTATAAAATCTATCTAATCTAAGTGGTCGTTTGGTTGGATCATTTGAAATGGATTGGAATGCAGTTATAATCCATTCCATCTATTTTTTTTGTTTGGTTGATGTTTTTAGTAATGAAATTTCATTTCCAAGGGATTCTAACTCTACCCATAGCTATGGAATCCAATACCCTATGAAATCTATTATTATTCTAACTCTATTCCTTACGAACGAAGGTACTATTATTATTTATTATTTACGTTTATAAATCATTTTATTTTGTTGGTAAGGAATAGAACCCTATTAGGTGAAACCTCTCACATATCAATCAAAATTACTCTATAATGGCTAATAGGAAGTGTTGGATACTTGATCAACAACACATTACACATTAGAAGGGAGGGGAGAGAATCAATGGCAGCGTGGAAGAACTTGATCACCAAAGCCGCCGGCGCATTGAAAATCCAATAACCACGTGCAACTCAGGTGACGCAGACGGTAACGGAATTCTATTCCGATCATCGTATTCGTGATAACTTAACGCCGGTGACGGCGAAGGTCACCGGAGCCGTTCAAAAAGGTTACGACGTTAGCCGGCAGGTTGACGGCGCCGTTAGAACACAAGCGCGTTCACGACAACATTTCCGATGATCAAATCCGTCAACTCTTAAGCCGTAACCTTAAATTTCTCGTCCAAAACCCGGTGCTCTTTTCGTTGCTCGTAGTTATGGTATGTCACTGATTGATTAATTAATTAATTCACTTATCAATAATTTTTTTTTTTTTTTTTTGTGATATTTTAATTTTAATTAGGTTTTGTGATCGTCAAATTTTGTGCTTATTTAATTGCATTTTTTTTTGGTTGCAATGTTATTCTGTGTAATTTAGTATGAATGCTGTATGAGTTAAACAAACTCCACCTGTGGCATTCACCACGGGTGACGCCGGACTCAAGCCTGGATAAAGGAGGAGAATTGTGGTAGGTTTGTGGTGGCCTGCGTAAAACTTAGTCACGTCTTATGGACATGAATCGAAATATGCTGTGTGATTGTGATTAAAACAATCATAATTTGTTCAACATTGCAATGTAGTACTCGTATGATATTTGGTAGCAATTTTTAATGTACAATTAGTGAAGATAACATGGCGAAGTAATGCTTGATGACCCTTTTATAGGACTTGTCTACGACACCGATTGTTTTGTTGTGGAGTAAAAGGAAGAAAAATGATACAATACATGAAGTTAAGTGTCTAAGTGAAGTGTACAAGTGAAGCAAAAAAAAAATGCTGGCAAAGTCCCACATTGACTAAAGAAAGAAGGTATTAGCTGGTGAAGTGTTTATAAGCAGAAGCTTCTTTGACAATAAAAGCATGATCCTTCAGGCAGTTAATGGGATATGATGAGTGGTCATTTTTCGCATTTTTAATTGCGAATTGGGTGTCCGCCCCTAGCCTTATTTACGACAACATGGGCACCCCAATTTGTGAAAGGTTATTATGATTTATGAAAATTAGTTTTTTTTTCTTTATTTTGGTTTGAAAAATAAAAACTACAAGTATTCATTTTTTGACAAAACTTTGGTCTACTCACTCGTGAGTTGACTGAACACTCCTAAAACCAAATGAAGAGTTCTCTCAAGGACATTCATTGAAACATTCATTGACGATTGGCTTTTTTCATTCACGAAACCCTCTCAACTTGGGAAGCCCCCTCGTACTTAATAAAGAGCTACAGAAGGGTGCTTTGATGTTTAACTTGGTGTGAACTTTAGGATTATAAGCCTTTTGTTTTTGACTAAATCAAATTTACAACCAGGGTTGGGCTGTGCAAATAGCCCAACAGCACAGGGCCTCATTTTATTAGGGACCCCAAAATTTGAATTTTCATATAGTGTATATATATTTGTTAAGGAGATTAAATTGTTCGAACAAGTTGGCTTAGTTGGTAGTGCATTTTGTCCGTTGGCTGTCTCCCTTCCATCAAGTTATTGTTCAAATCCTTTCCCCTTCACTTTTTAGCTTAGTTTTGTTTTTTTTTTCCTCTTTTTTTACTATTATTTTTTTCGATTATACCCTAATTTTCCGATTTTTTATTTTTTATTTTTTTTATTTGGTGTTTTGATAAATGTTTTTATTTTGATAATTTTAATCCCTGACTTAGTTTTTTTTCAATTTTTTTTGCTGTTTATACCTTTTGATAATTTTCACCTATTTAGCTGTATTATTTTAAATTTTAAGTGGATAAAAATGTAGCAATCAAAATTTCATATTTTTTTTATAGCATAGGGCCCCCAAAAAGTATAAGACGGCCCTATTTACAACCTATGTGCAACTTATCTATAGTTTAGGTGTTACCTGATGTTCACAGATTTAGTTCTTGTTTTTGTTGTATATATCATGAAACATTATAGTTTTAACACTTTATTTTATGTTTTTTGGGGTGTGTTTTATAAAAATACACATGCCACTGAGGATTTAGTTTCAAGATCGAGCCATTAAGGAACTAGTGATGTTTATTGTTCATGGTTAAATTTGGATTAAAGCAAGGTTTTAATTAGTTGTGCACCTCACAATTTTCAATTTTAGTAATCAAATTTGCTCATTTTAGTGATTTGCTTCCAAATATTAAAGATACAATGGAGTCCTTCCGAATTGATAATCTCAACCTCCCATAACCAATTCAGTGTGATGCAGTCTCTTTTCTTGATTTAATGACCTAATTCGTCTTTTCAAATATGGAACCCTATCATGTACGTTTCCAGCCCTTGTCATTTAGAGTTTTGTCATCAAGTGGATGATGGTTGTACTTGTGTTTGTTCTTGTCTCAAAATCTCATATCAATCTTTTATATGAAGAAAAAATCTTGGCAATTTCTACAATATGTTGATTATGAATGTTTATTTTCTGTTAAAACCAAGTTTTGATTTAAAAAAGCTCACTGTCTCTGGCTGGTCAAGCTTATGCATGCTACAATTCCTCTTCACCAATTTGCTGTTACTTGTTAGTCGACCTGATTTATTTCTGTAATACAGTTTTGAACCTTGTGTTCAGTCAGTTTTTGTAGGTAATACTTAGTTGGTTACAACTATCAGGCTTTTAAATTGAGTTTAATCTGATTGACTTATTCGAAAACCCCAACATTTTTTTTTGTTACAAAGTTAGCACTGACCATAAACAGTTCCACACTACATTCGACCAGTTGGCTCATTTATTGACATATTCAGCAAACAAAAAAAAGATCTCCATAATGCTTCTAATATTCGGACTACAGAACAAGAACAGAACATATTAACAGGTGAAATAGTCTGAGTATGAAATCTTTTCAGTATCCTTTTACTATGGCAACTCGTTAAAGGACTTTTTTACCCTGTGCAATTGGTTTAATGTATCATTTTACAATATGTAGTAAAATTTCTTGCAATATAGTGATCAACAAACTTGGCATTTGTTTGTAGGGGGTGGTCCAATCTTTGATATTGTCTCGGCCTCATTGCAAGACCAAGATGCTGCCTCTCAGAAGGAAAGACTGAAAGAACTGGAGAATAAAGTAGCTAAACTTGAGAAGGCGTTGTGCTCAAGGGAATTCCGTGTGGAAGCTGATATATACATGGCACGTACTAATTCGCATGATAAACTGAACATGAGAACACACATCAACCCGAATCCTGAGGAGATACTACGGGTGGTCTTGATGAAGCACCTAGGCCTGAAAATTATAGATGATTTTGTTATGGCCAAAGCTCGATCTAAAACGGATTTAAAGCCATCATTTAAGTTAATTGGAAGCCCGGCAGTGTGAATAAG